TCCTCAGGTGTTCTGATTCACCTGTCCTCAGGTGTTCTGGTCCACCTGTCCTCAGGTGTTCTGGTTCACCTGTCCTCAGGTTTTCTGGTTCACCTGTCCTCAGGTGTTCTGGTTCACCTGTCCTCAGGTGTTCTGGTTCTCCTGTCCTCAGGTGTTTCAGTTTCCTCCACAGATTTTCAGCAGTATTTAGATCAGCAGTCTTCAGAACAGTCCAGTGTTTGGTTCTGATCCATTCTGTGGTGTTTTGGGTCATTATCCAGTTGGACCCTGACCTCAGACTGAGACCAGCTCTCTGACACTGAGCAGAACATTTTTCTCCAGAAAGCCTTGATAGTCTTGAGACTGCAAAGATAACCTTTCTTCTCTCCTATCATTCAGCTCACACTGCAGTCTTTATGTAAACACCTGATCTTACAGTTATTGACTGTTTCGATGCTCTGAGCTGCTTCTCTGTCTGTCTGCAGACTTCTGTTAGATTCATGTCTGAAACAGAGCAGAGTTTCACAGAAAAGCCCAGCTTCACTTTGACCTGTTAATATCCCACAGTCTGGTGTGATGGACACCAGACAGCAGTTTTCTTATCTTATTTTTCAGTAGTTTTCCTCTCACGCTGTCCTGCTGAAATTGCCCTTCGGCAAGGCACTCAATCCGCCTCCTGTGGTTTCGGTAAATTTCCTCTGAAAAAAAAGATGTTCACAAACCCAGAAAACAGGCGAGCTCTGCCTGAAATACAGTTGCCTCGTTGTGTTGTAATTATACACTAATGAAGAAAGAACAGGTGCAGACTCTGGATATGACACAGAGAGCAGCTAATATTGTCAGACAGATCGAGGTTTTCAGCAACCGGCTGTAATTGTGTTACTTTAGGTGGCACTGTGAACCATCAGGATAAAATGTAGTGATGTGAACCGAATGTGGTTTTAATGTTTCTGATCTTATTATACTGTGATTACAGAAATTTAGAGCTGTGACCAAAAGTGTTTGTGTATCAGCTTTAAATGAGGGCGCCGGTGCAAAATCTCTGCAGCACTGTCGTCACCATTTGGCCGTTTATCTTTAACTTCTGTCACAATTTTTTGATTTGCTTCTCCTTCTGCCGCTTTAGGGGGGAAAACATGCAAAAAACAAATAAAGCAAAACAATAAGCTCTGTTGGAAGAAAAGGGCTGCGAGTTTTGGCAAAATTACAGGAAATTTAAAAAAAAGCTGCAAAAAATCAGATTACAGCGAAACAAGTGGTGAAACCCAGATTTTTCCACATATTGTTCATATTTGTTTGACAATGTTGCTTTTGAACATCTACGTTTTATAACATTTCTGAAAGCAAACGTTTTATTTTTACAAATATTTCACTCAAATTACTCCAGAGTTCACACACCTAATTTGATTTTGGTGTCATTGTGGTGAGGAGCCAAACCTCAGGCTTCAGGACAACAGAAACTCTGATACAAACTGGGGCTGTAAGAAAATACTGATGCACTGAAATATTGCGATATTTACTTTCCTCATACTGTATCAATTCATAAATGCACCGTATGGATTTTAAGGTTTAAAGTTCCTGTGACATGCACATACCTCAAATTAAAAAAGTCAAGAAAATTGCCCTAATACACATGATTTTACCCATTTTGTCAAATAACTGGGCTATTTTCTTTTGAATTAGTCTCAACCAAAGTAAAACAGGAAGTGACATCAAAGAGGAACTCATTAATAAAATAAAATCTTTGGTATTTGTTTATTAAAACAATATTATTCAAACTTTAACTCTTCTTCATTTCTCTTTGACAGAGATCAAAATAACGTAAAGAAACATCAGATTCTTCTTTACAGCCTGTGCTGTTAGCGTTGCACCAAAGCTCTGTTTACATTCCTTTGACATCACTTCCTGTCACTTCACATGCAAATATCTCAACAACTGTTCATCTCAGTGGCGTGAAATTTGTTTTTCAATATGTTATGAATGTTATCTTTCCAAAAATGCATTCATGTTTATCTCAAAAATTTGATGTCACAGGCACTTTAAACTTTCATGCCAGCGGTTCATTTTTGTSTTGTAGTTTAGCCTCCGACCACTAGGTGGCAGCAGTCAGACAAACATTTGGCTCCTCCACGCCTGCCTGAGAGGACGATGCTGAGTTTTAAACATCAGAATCTTATGGAGATTTAAAAATAACGATATTTATATCATGATTTATCATGGCTGTGCCCCTAAATTTGGACACAGCCCATATCATGACCCCAACATTGTGATATCATATCACCAAATTATTACCACACATCCCAAACTGAACTTTAATAATAAAAATAAAAGCAGCAAAATAAACAAATAAATAAAAACCCAAGAACAGTAACTTCACAGCGAAGAAATCCTGTTGAGTCAGACGCGCTTGTCCAAGATTTGTGGCCATATTGTCCCGATCGTAACGAAGACAAAGACGAGGGAGGGTGCGTGTGTTTTTCTCCTGTTGCTGCTGATCCGATTCTCCTCGAGAGAGACGAACGACAAGATTTAAAGAATCTGGTTGCCAGCTGTCGCGTCAGTCAGCGCAGCCAAACAGGAAATGTTTAGAAGTGATTCATTTTTCCGGTGCGGCTGTTTGATGGATGGACGGGGGGGATGGTTCACGACCAACACCACCAGTGTGTGTGTGTATGTGTGTGTGTGTGTGTGTCGGTGGGTGGCAGCGCTGCACATTCTGCTCATCCATCTGCTTCACTTGGAGAATGACAGTTTGACATTTGCGTTGGAAGGAGAAGGGAAAGGTTCCGAGGGACGATCTGAACCCGGCCCACATCTCGTGTTCTGACTTTCTAAAAGTGAGCAGAGCAGATACTTCTCTGCCTCACATCACAACAAACACAACTCTTTAAACTCTGCAGACTACCTGTGAGGACACTGCAGACGGATGTTCTCTCTCTGCATGCTTCCTCTTGATGCAAACAACAGCCCGGCTGCTGAGCTTTTAATGCATTATTCAAGGTTAACCATGAATTACTGCAGTTACAGTGAAACAGTTTAAAGTTGTGCATCAGCAGAGCTGCAGCCCTCTGAAAGGCATTAAAGGTAAACAAGAGGACGACTTGTAGCTCGAATACAATCAAACTGCTTTGGATTCGATTCACGTCTGGTTCTGAAGAGGCAAAAATCCTTGGAAAAGATTTCCAGCACATTTGTGATTCCAGCTCGGGGCGTCATAAATCTCATCTTGTATTACGTTCCCATTTTTCCTTTACTTTGCACCTGTCAGGTGGAGGTTTTTTATTGTTGTTTTTCTTGCATACAGATTTATCTTACCTGCATAAACTTAGAAGATCCCAGAAGAAACGTTGAAACACACAAATTCAAATGTTTTAGAAGTGCAAAAAATTACTTACTGTTCCTAAAATCTCCACAGATATTGCAATAAAACAAATAAGCAATCATAGTGTGTGACTGCAGTTCACCGTACCGTCTAAAAATGCTGCGTAAAGCTCTATCAGGCAAAAAAGAAGACACAACATCCAGAAACGCTGTAGTTTTATCTGGACCAAAGCTCGTTTAAAGCTGTATAAATTTGTGAACATTAAAAAAAACCTGCCTCTCTGATGGTATAGGGGTGCATCAGTGCCTAGAAAGGCTCTATATGTGTATATATATACATACTGTATATGTATATATACATACATACATACATACATACATACATACATACATACATACATACATACATACATATAGTTTATTCATTTAATTTAAAAAACAAAACAAAATACATTACATATGTACAACAAAACAATGCAAATCAAAAATGAAAAGCAGCAGATGGAGCAAAAGTCTTATAATATCTGCTCTTATTTACAAAAAAAATATTCATTTCAAAGTATAGAAAACTATAAACAAACGTGAGAACATTTAAACACGTTGTGTTGCTCGGTCACATGAAATCCCATTTAAATACTTTCAAAAATGTGAAAAAGTTCAAATGAGATGCTTTTATTTTGAAGTTCTGTTTACATCAGCTTTAGTTGCAAGTTTCTGTCACAGTGTGTGTATCAGTGTGTGTCAGAGGATGAAAAGTTTTGCAAAGTCCTAAAGCCAGAAAATATTTTGTTTCTCTATTATTTGTGAAGTAATTGCCTTGTTACAAACAAAAAGAAAAGATATTATCCAGTGTTACAAATGTAAAACATTCTTACAGTGAGAAAATAAAAGTAAGTGAAAATCATCAAAGCCCACAAAGTGTTTTTTGCTGCTGCTGGCTGATGAGCACGAACGCCGAGGCCAACTTTTCTTGGCCGTGACGCTGGTTCAGACTTTGGCTGCGCTCCTCAGGTTCTTATCTTGTAAGAAACAACTCTCAGTGGATTATAATTATGTTAGTGTTGCAAATTCTCTGGAAACAAGACAAGTTAAAGATTGAGGAGAAACTACTCTTTCATCGAAGGTTGATACGCTTATTTGCGTTGCAACAGAACAGGCCTGACTGAATGTTTTTGGACCGGGCCTGTGTTGTCTGCGAGCCAGGCGTTTACCGAGTCGTTCAGGAGAACTCTTGAGCTGAAAGTCTCCTCTCTGAAGGAGCCAAATCACACTTTGGGTCGCAGCCAAGATGGTTCGCAGATAAGTGTGAGACTCGCACGGATAATGAGCAGGTTTTTGTTCTCCGTCTTGGTTCTACAGGTGTGGATCTGCTGGCTTTGTACAACCACCCACCGCTCCGACAAGGTCAGGTGAAGTACTACACGGTGAAGGTGCCGCTGCGGGTCCAGAACTACGACGAGGGCGTCAGAGGAGTGGAGGCGAACTGGTTGGACCACATGACGCAGCACTTCAACAACGGAGCCTCGCTGGTGGACGGGTACTTCCACCTGGGCAACGTGAACGGTACCGAGCTAAATTTACTTCACATTTCCGTCCCTGTCGCTCGTGAGCGTCGTCACCTTTCATCGACTCTGCTAAGAGCTCTCGCTGTTGCTGTTTGATATTGTTTTTGCATCAGTTTGACCTTTTCCCTTTCACTGTTTCACCTGTAAAAATGTCAGAGCAGATTCCAAATTCACGTCAGTCTCTGGGAAATTAAAAGTCGGTGGCAGGTGTGATGCACCGTGCCCCCGTGTTTGATTAATTATGCATTAGTTGACATTCATTTTCCTGCAGAAAACAATCAGAAATGTCACATTCAAAAAAAACTATCTCACACATAAATCACTCTGACGGGGATTTTACTTTGACAGAAACAGGTTTAGTCCAGTCGTATAATTTATTCACATGAAAATCTGGTTTAAAATTTAAACCTCATTAAAGGATCTTTTCTGATTTTTTTTCATTTTTTCACCCAATAAAATAAAGAAGCTTTAAAGTAGGTCATATAAACAGAGCATGATGAGATCACAGAACAAATTTGAGCATAAACACACCAACAGAACTGTGAACCCTCCAATAAGAATTCGACTTTGAAACAGGGGTGGAGCTAGACCTTTTTTTGCCAGGTGTGGCCATGTTGTTTGTCGGGGCCGGGACATACAAATAAAAGCACTGGGTTTGAAAATCCTGGCTGTCAAAAGCTAATTCCATATATTTTTAATTTAGCTGTTGTAAGAAATACTGAGCTGAAGTCTGTGTGATCTTAGTTAAAACTCAAAAAGAAAAAAATTGTGTAGGTCTTCTGGACGGGTTCTTCTCTAATGAAACGTTTCGTCTCTCCTCCAAGAGACTTCTTCAGTCTGAGAGTTTCAGGAAAAATTCAGGCTTTTAAGYCCTGCCTCCATGTGACTGATCAGTCAATCAGTCACATGGAGGCAGGGCTTAAAAGCCTGAATTTTGCCTGAAACTCTCAGACTGAAGAAGTCTCTTGGAGGAGAGACGAAACGTTTCATTAGAGAAGAACCCGTCCAGAAGACCTATACAATTTTTTTCTTTTTGATTTTTTACCTGGATTACTGAGATGCATCAGGACTTAGTTAAAAATGATCCAAACAACACGCTGAATGCTGGTCACAGTTTGTCATTCAGCCATTTTTAGACATACTGTACAAAGCTAAAGATTAGTGTAGAAGTAGCCAAAAACAAACTTTATCAAACTCTAATCAAAATTTCAAAATGGCCACCACAGCTAACTTTAAAAAATGATAATTCAGCCATTTTAAGACATATTGAGACGAAATTTGTCGTGGTGTTGCCAAGAATGATCACATCTTGCTAGCTGATGCTAATCTCAAAATATGCTAACCACTAATGCTAATGCTAATTTTCAGATGTTTATAACTAACATTTACTTTGTGTCAGTACTTAGTGATTTTTTGGAAGGGTTTGTAATTTTACCAAATATTTTTTAAATTGTTATTTTTACTTTTATTTTGTTACATTTAAAACCTAAAAATGATACTTTTACTACTTTAATTTAAAATTAAACACCCAGTTACTTGTTACAAATTTAAATGTGTCTGAACTCATCATGAGAGGAGTTGTTTATGCACTCTAAAAAATGAAGTGTTGACTTTATTCAACCAAGTCATGTCCATGTACTCAATGCAGGGGTGCTCAAACATTTTCCCTGAGAGGGCCAAAATTAAAATCAATCTGAGGGCCATGGGCCAAATGCAGTAATATAAGAAAAGCAAATACTTCTTAAGAAAAAGTAGTTTAAAAAAATTTATGATTAAGCTAGCCAGTGTGGTTGCCCACTTTTTTTTTCTTTCAGCCCATGGACATGGAGAAAATTCAACTTATGCTCAGGCAGCAAAGGCTCATGGGACTTTTCATAATTTAAAATTTGAGTATATGGGATCTTGTAAGGTGTACAAATCTAGATATGGACATAAATTTAATCTAAATGTCTCTTGTAGTTACTTGTATTTTATATTTAACATAATTACAATCTAGTAACCAGGACAACTGCTGATGGGCCAAATCAAATGGCTCGGCAGGCCAATTTTGGCCCGCGGGCCCCACTTTGGGCAACTCTGGTTTGGTGGAACCAGTTTGGTTCAGTAAATGCAACAGTTTATTTCTTAGAGAGTGTGTAAAAGTACTTTTTCGTTTACTTTTACTTTCCTGATTTTTGTTAACTGTAAAAGACTTTTTCTTACGTACTTTTATCATCAGTGAAATTAGTTTTTACCTAAGTTGTTTTCTGTTAAGGCGTCTTTACTTACTTATTTCTGTTAAGGCGTCTTTACTTACTTATTTCTGTTAAGGCGTCTTTACTTACTTATTTCTGTTAAGACTTACTTACTTCTGTTAAG